GGTTACATGGGGCTAATGTTCGAGACATCTAAAGAAGAAATGGAATATCAAAGGAGAACTTGCTCTCACTGATATTGGTTGCAATTATTACATTGCACGATTCACCAACAAGGCAGACTATGATTATGTGCTTACCGAGGGTCCATGGCTCCTAGATGATAACTATTTGACGATCAGGAAATTCCAAATTTTATTCCGGACGACTCTCCAATTAAAGTCCTTACAGCTTGGGTTCGTATTCCAAATCTTCCGATGGAATATTTTGATATCAATTTCTTGAATAAAATTGGTTCGAAAATTAGTAGAGTCATCAGGGTGGATAAAACTACAGCTCAAGCAGAACGCAGTCAATTCACGAGGCTAAGCGTGGAGATTGAACTGTTAAAGCCATTATTGTCTAAATTTTGGCTCAAAGGTCGGGTATGGAGAGTCCAATATGAGGGAATCAGGTGGTTTATTTCAAATGTGGAAAACTTGGCCATGTTGCTGATGATTGAAGTCCTATACCAGAAAATGGAGTGCATTCTGATATGGTAATTCATGACAACCCGCTGCATAACCAAGGAACTAGACCTGAAGAACAAGAAGACTTCGGCTTATGGATGCTAGTAAAAAAAACCTGGTAGACAAAGGACCACTAAGCAGGACAAAAATGCAGGGGTGGTGAAAACCAATATTGGTGGCGCTAAGGAGGTGGGGAATATTCCAGTGGCGGGTAACCGAATTGGAATCAATCTTGAAAAAACTAAACTCACCAAAATTATGGTGGGAAACATTGGTAGCGGGGACAACCAGGGAAAAATTTTTAAGAATAAAATTGAGGAGATAAATAAGGAAACAGAAGCTATTATGGAGGAGCTCCTGGATAAGGATGGGAATGTTTTTACCACGGTGAGTTTGGGTGAGAAATCTCAGCAAGATAAATCCTCTTAATTATTTCCTATTACTATTAATTTAAGTGATATGAATGTAAAAAATACAAAATCAAAAAAGATTCCCAAAAAATCATATCACGAAAAAAGAAAATTATCCTTTCCAAAGCAGAGTTTTCCACTCAAAGAAAATTCAGTTAATTCTGATGCCATTGGTAGCAATAAGGTGAACCCCCATAAGCAAGGAAAAGAGAACTCCTTAACTGCACTCGAAGCCAACTCCAAAGCAGAAACCCAAAGCCTTAAAGTGAACAAGCAAGCAGTGGAGAAGCCAATCCAGGATGCCAGTGACTTTACAAATCCCATCTCTCATGTCTCGTCCACCTTACCCAATCACACTGAATGTCCCACCAGAGAAGACTCTATGTGTGGGGTTGCCAATGGAACAACCTTACCTAGTAATCATGAACCCCCTGGTGCATGTGATGGAGGTCCATATGGACTCGCTGTTACCACCCATCTCGATCCCCCCGGATTTGGTGGTAATGGTGAGCAAACCAATTGAAATTCAGCGTCTGCTGAGGATTTTAAGCCATGCTTTTATGACCACGTTGTCTTCTTCACCAACCTCCATGGAAGATAGACTACTGAATTTAGCGCCTGATACTCTACCTATTACTTGCATGATATGGAATGTGCAAGGGGCAGGTAATTCGAATTTTATTGCTGCTTTCAAAGAAATTGTTAGAATAAATCAGCCCAATGTATTAGCATTGGTTGAGACTCACATGGGAGGTGATCAAGCTCTCAAGGTTGCAAATGTGTTGGGATTTAGTGTCCATGAGAGAGTAAATGCCATGGGATTTAGTGGTGGAATTTTGGTGTACTAGAAATCTGAGTTTGTGATTGTTAACCCGATTTTAAAACACAAACAGCATATCATGATGGAGATAACCCGAGTAGGAGTCTCACCTTGGTATATCTCTGCTCGTGAGTCCGGACCCTATGAAAAGGAAAGAATTATGGGAAGAATTAAAAACGTTTGCAGCGTGTGAAATAGAGATGTCTTTGGGAATATATTCAAGCAAAAAAGATTGCTCTTGGCTTGCATAGTAGGAATCCAAAGGAAATTGGCAGAGAAGGTCGATAGAGGACTTATAAAATTGGAAGCAAGGCTTAGAAGGGAACTTGATGAAGTACTTGAAAGGGAATAAATTCTATGGTACCAAAAATCAAGGATTGATTGGCTTAGATATGGAGACCGAAATACTAGCTTTTTTCACTTGAGTACAATTGTGCGACGATGGAAAAACAAAATTGTTGCTATTAAAGGTGAAAATGATCACTGGCTTCAAGATAAAAATGAGATCAAAGAGCACATTGTAGGCTACTTTTCGAATTTATTCACAGAGGAAGGAGAACCAGATTTTTTTGACGTACCTCAAGATGTTTTTCCCGAGCTTTCCATGAGTGATTTGAGTGGATTAGTGAGACCCTACACAAAGTTGGAGGTGGAGAATGTAATTAAGGAAATGGGGTCATTGAAAGCGTCGGGCCGGATGGTTTTCAAGCCCTATTCAATATCAAAAAAATTGGGAGATAATTGCGGATACAGTCTACCGAACCATTTTGCCTATCTTGGAGGGTAAGGGGCTGCCTGCCCATATCAATGATACGTTTATCGCCTTAATCCCGAAGCTTGAAAATTCAGAAGTTGCTTCGCAATTCCGACCCATTGGATTATGCAATGTTGCATACAAAATTGTTACCAAGATCATAGTAAATAGACTCAAGACTGTTCTTCCTCACTTGATTCGAACCCACATCTTTTGTGCATTTGCACAATGCTCTACCCTTGAGCTAGTAGGCTAACGTATTTAAAACATTCAAACACACTCACAAATGAGCATTAAATAATTTGCTCATTTGACAAAGGAGCATTGAATTTTTTTGCTTATTTGACAAATGAGCAAAAATTAATTGCTCATTTGACAAATGAGCAAAAAATTAATTGCTCATTTGATAAATGAGCATAGTATTGTTTTGCAATTCTATAACCTATAATTAATTGCTTATTTAGCAAATGAGCAAATAGTTAGTTGTTTCATTTGTCAAATGAGCAAATAGTTAGTTGCTCATTTGTCAAATGAGTAAACATTTCTTTAATCATTCATTAAATCAACAAGCATTTCTTTGTTCATTTGTAAAATGAGCAATCAATTATTTCCTCACTTGACAAATGAGCAAATATTTCTTTACTCATTTGTCAAATGAGCAATCAATTATTTCCTCACTTGACAAATGAGCAAATATTTCTTTACTCATTTGTCAAATGAGCAAATAGCTTGTTGCTCATTTGTAAAATGAGAAAATATTTCAAATAAACGCTAGGTATAAAAGTCACCATAATATAACCACCACAAAAGTCACCAAAATATAACCACCACAATAGTCACCATAATAAAAAGTCACCACAAAATATCCAATTTCGATTCAAATATAACCACCATTTTTACATCATTCAAAGACTAACAAAGATCTAACCACCATTTATAAAATGAGCAACTAATTCTTTGCTCATTTATCAAATGAGCAACAATTCTTTCATTCTTTGTTCATATATCAAATGAGCAAACAAACAATTCTTTGCTTGAAATTATATAAGCAAAAATTAGCTTGAAATAATTAATAACTATAGAAACTTTGTTACAACTAAACTCTCATACAAACGCTTGTCTTTACATTACACAAATAAACCTACGTGGGATTTGAACCCACATCTTTTGTGTATTTGCACAATGCTCTACCAATTGAGCTAGTAGGTTGATGTATATAAAACAAATAAGCTGAAGGAAACTTACGCGCCAGTAAACTTTGGTATTAAAAAAAATATAAGATGTGAATGTACAGTTACTTGAAAGAGAAAAAAATATTGAAAAACTTTTAATAGAGCATGAGTTCACTTGCATCCTTATTGAACATTTATGAGTCAGAAAAACAAGCTACTACAATGGTAGCAAGTTTATTAAAATGCTGATTTTGCAGAGCATGATTGTCAGCAACTTATTGAAAGGTCATAAATAACCTTTGTATTCATTATAAAGGGTCTCCAGTTTTTCCCATTCACAGTCTAAAAAATACTTAATAGATGTAAGCTGAGAAAGAAGAGCGTATATTCAAAATAGGAATGCACAAATTTTCGACAAACTACTTAAGATATGTCATGTATATATCATATCTTATTTGGGAGTATTTGAACACTAAAAGCATAGTGAAATTTATTAGTACTTCTTAGTGTTCTAACAATGCTCCTATTAAGATGAACTTTGCACATTATCAAATGCACAAAATCCTCTCATTCCAAATTAGGTTTGTCCCCTTCTTTTATTTAATAATGTAGTATTTTTTTTTAATTTAAGTGTTGATTTACAACAATGTTTACTAGTGCCCTAAAAATACCAATGCTCGTTTTTTATTTTTTAAAAAACAGATAAACGGATCCAAATACGGGTATTTTGGTTAAACCCGTATCCATATCAGAAAATTTTTGGGAAATTAAATTTTGAGAGCAACAAGTAATTTGAATGCCAAATGGAAAAAATCTCACATTTCCGAAGGAAAAAGGATCATTTCCCTTCATAAGATGGCTTACCATGAGCCATAAATCAAGAACCAAAAAGATGAGCAAAAAACCGAAACATTGACCGGAGTTGAGAATCATTTTAGCAATTAGATTTAAGTGAAATGCAATACAAGATTATTATGTATATAAGAAAGTATGAGACAGATTTTCAAAGAATTATTAAAAGAACCCCCTCTTAAAATACTGAACACCCCCACAATCCTCAAATTTCATTATCTTTACCACTGCAATACAAACTCAGAGAAACAAGAAACCAAAAGCCAATAGCATCGCAGCCATCCGCATAGCTAGTAAACTTATAAGTAACTATGTAGGGGATTCACCAACCAGTAAACGCATCATACAGCCAAACCTAAGGCACATACACATCATAACAAACACAAGAAATATAAAAAAGCCAATAAGTTAATGTCAAACCTAAAGTGGAATTCATTCAGAAAATTATTTGGAAAATTAAATTTTGAGTGAGTTTCCACACAAGGATATTCAAAACTGGTCTCCAAGAAACTCCCATTTCATATATAGAAGACCTCTCAAACACCCATATTTTACTTCCACAAAAAGTAATCTCTACAATACATAATCCACCAGCCAAAAACAAAGAACAGTAAGCCATATTAGCACCATACATTATTCAAAGTTCAAAAGCCTTCAATTCAGGGCTGGGCTGTTTTAAGAGAGATTGCCACATCATTCTAATCCACGCACGCATAAAGTCATTACAAACCCAAACTACAAGCCCATTGTAGCAGCAGCAAAAGAGACGACAGTTCAGAAATTAAACCCAATAGCATGACCTTTCAGATCGCGGATTTCTAGCATACCTTGCAGCTTCATCATCCTTGAGCTTCTTGATATACTTCTTAACAATGTAATATTTTGTCTGAAACACAATAATAATAATAATTAATTAATCACCAAGTAGTAGGAATTTAAAACCTGAATATTTATGATCCATCAACTTGATGAAAAGAAAAGAAGCAACATATTTGATATCTGTTGTACATGTGGGGTTTTACAGCATAATAGCATACCGTCTTCACCAGTTCACGAAACTTTTTTTTTACCGCCAAACGTTCCTCTCTAGGTAGCTTTAATGACATCCAACAGCAATCAAACAAGAATCAAAGTTTATCAGAAAGGAGGTAAAAAAACAATTGCTGCAAAAAAACTTGTTGTAATAATTAAAAAAATAAAGACAAATTACCTTTGTTTCACCAGGATGATTCTTAATATACTCGTCCTGATACTCCTTCCTGTAATTAAACATAATAAATAAATAAGATCAAAACGAACGTACACAGAATCACAGATCAAGAAATAAAACAAAGAAAGAAATGAAAAACAAGAATGTTACATGTACACATCTAGAGCAATATCCGCATTTGTCATTTTTCTCACAATCACTTCGCCTTCATATGGATCCCTAAATCATTAAATTAAATAATCACTCTTACATTACAAACAGAGACTAAATTTCATCGAATCGATTAAAAAAAAAATGGAACAAATCTTACCGAGCATTTACTACTTTCTTAGTTGTTTTCTTGCTAGCTTCAATTGGCTTCAAGATGGAATTCTGAAAATTAGTAGTAATGAAAAATGGAACTGAGTACAAGATGCAGGAAAGTTTCTATCACCACTATCTTTTTTGTGAAGCTATCAATTTAAAATTTTACAAGTTACAAGCAACTAATTAATAAACTGAAACATACATTTTCGAAACAATTAAAAAAAAAAAAAGAACATGTGAAATTCCATTTTTATAATTTCAAAACATGGAATTAGTAATTGAAACTAACTCCGATAGATAATTTAAATGCTGAAATTCAATCCGAAACACAATCTTAATTAAGTGACAAGAGAATTATATTTCAATACCACTAGACTGATACTCAATCATATCATATCATACCATAACATATACTACGATATAAAATAAGATTTAACAAAATTTAAAAAAAAAAAAAAAAAAAAAAAAAAAAACTAACCTCAGCAGTCGCCTTCCTTTTCTTCTGATTCATGGTGTTCTTGTTTGATGCCTCAGCAACATCCCGATTCACCTCAACACTTAATCACAAAAGGTAAGAATAAAAAATAAAAAAATAAAAAAAAAAACACTAAAACTAAAACAAACAATTCTCAGAAACAAAATAAAAAAAGAAACAAAACTAAAACAATAGAAGGAAACTTACTTAGTATCAGTTGTATTCTTCTTAGATGATGATCTTGTTTGCACCATGGTGAGAGTTGATTCCTGCAGAACCGTTTAGGGTTAAATTTGGTAGAGAAAGATGAAGAAACAATCAGAATCGATCGGAAATGCAAAAGAAAGAAAACTTTAACGGTTATTTCACCAAATGCCACAAAGTACTTACAAAATTTACCAAATGCCATCGCGTTTTTCAAAATTCACCAAATGCCACTGAGGATTAGTCACCAAATGCCATTTCCGTTAGTTGATTGTCACTGTCCGTTAGTTGACCCCACCACTTGCCACGCGTCACCCTCTGATTGGTCCGTTTTAAAAAAAAAAATTAAAAAATAAAAATAAAAAAAAAAAACAGAAAACCCTTTAAACCACCCAAACCCCAGCCACCACCCCCTCCTTGCCGAACCCTAAAACCCCTGCCGCCGGCGACTTGCACCCTCACCGGCAGGCGCGCCGGCGGCCGCTGGCCCCCCTCCCCTTCCCCAACGCACAAATACGCCATTGAAGCTCACGCATGAAAGATTGAGGAACATGTAAGTTACTCATTTCTTCACCAAATTTCATTAAACTTGTATCAAAATGTTCACAGTTCACTATACAATCGATTAGAGCAAACAATTTTGTGAATTGCTTCGCCAAACCCCTAATTCAATTTTTTTAGGGTTCTTCACAAAAATTTGACCATCAAAGGAGAGCAAAAGGAATTCCTTGAAGCAAAACATCGTGGAAGGAAGGAGGAAAAGGCAGAGGAGTAGAGCAATGATGGTGGTTTTGCTGGCGCGAGGTCGAGAGGAACGAAGGGGGTGGGGTTTCAGGGTGGTGGAGGAAGGGGGGTGGGATTTCGGATTTTGGGTTTAAAGCTCCGATGGGTCGCGACGGGGGAAGAGGAGGGGAAAGGGAGGGAGCCGGAGTCTGCCGGCGCTCCTGCTGGTGCAGGTCCCGGCGGCAGGGGTTCGGGGACCGACGGCATGGCTGGTGGCTGTTGGGGTGGTGGCTAGGGTTTGGGGTTTTCTGTTTTTTTTTTTATTATTTTTTTTAAATTATTAGTTTTTTAATTATTTTTGGTTATTTATAATTTTTTTAATTTTTATTTATTTTTTTAAAAACGGACCAATCAGAAGGTGACACGTGGCAAGTGGTGGGGTTAACTAACGGACAGTGACGGTCAACTAACGGAAATGGCATTTGGTGATATTATACTAAATCTCAGTGGCATTTGGTGAATTCTGAAAAACGCGATGTCATTTGGTGAATTTTGTAAGTACTCAGTGGCATTTGGTGAAATAACCGAAGCTTTAATTAGGGTTAGGAATGAGCAAGTGCTACGATTACGAATTGGCTTTCTCAAGCTTTCTCCTGTCTTCTCTTCTAGTCTCTTCTAAGTCTAGGGTTAGGCCAAATATACACACAAAAAAAAAAATCTAAGAACAACGCGGAAAGAAAAAAGAAAAAAAATTCCGAAATTCAAATTTTAAATTTGAGAAACCTTATTAAAGTTAGCCCAATCTAACTCAGCTCGGCCCAAACCATTTGTAAAATATATATATATATTTATAAATCAAAATTAATGGATTTTTCCTGAGATTAGGTTTAATTCCTGAGGAGCTCCTCTGTTATTTTTTTTTTTACCTCAGGTACCCCTAAAGTATTGTATATATGAGGAAATCAAAATTTTCTGGGTCTTTACATCTTTTTTTACTTCTTTCGCTTGTACTTAACTTTGCTTACCTTCAAACCTATCTCTAGAAAAGAAATAATCTAAATTTGAATTCATCTTTATACGATTTTAAATAATGTTTCAAGTGACTTTCTTGAAATGATCAAATATAAGTAATCTTTAGGAATTTTTCTGTTATTTCTTTTATGGGGGATAGCAAAGTGGGTACACGCGAAAGAAGTAAAATAATGTTGTATAGACCTGAAAAATGGTGATTTAATCAAATGCCCCTCATTGGGAGGGGTACCTTAGGCAAAAATATCAAACTTCAGGAGTACCTAGGTAAAAAAAAATAACAAAGGTGTATTTGTGTTTAGGGTTTGGTTTTAAGTTGAGGATTTTCTATTTACTGTATTTTCTAAGTGGATGAATCCTGATTTTTAATGCAATATTTGTGGTTGACAACATTATATACTTGTAGTTGAGGACTATTTTATATTTAGTTGTAATATTTAGTTGAAAGTTTGAGCTGATTTTTCCTGATTTTATTGTTGATTTGAGTGCATTTTGGTGATTGTTTCGATATAAAAGTACTAAATCGCCTTCATCAGCCTTTTTTATTGTTTTTTTGTATGATTCTATGTGTTTTGGTAATTATTGGTAATGTATTATCTTAATTATGATTGGGAAATTTATTCGGGTATTGATTGCAGCTCGTTTTATGTAAGGAAGTGGAATATCTTAGTGTGACTAATTGCAGATGTAGTTATGGATATCTTTGTTGGAGGCAACTGTATAATGGTAAATCGGTCTCTTGGTATAACTTGTTTTGGGGTTTGATTCTAAATTGCTTATTTGTTATTGTATGCTCTCGTAGAGGAAGTCTCAAAATCAATTTTGAAGTAAGAATATCACAAAAGTTCAGCACAGATAATCAACAAACATTGAAAATAGAAAAAAAATGCTCTCAGGAAAAAACCCTAATGAAAACCTTGATGACAATCATGAAGTTCTTCCTTCAATTGAAGAAAGAGACCAAATTGATTGTTCAAATAAAAAACCTAAACGTACGATCACACACTTGATATTTGGGGAAGATAATTCGCAAGATGAAGAAATGGCTGATGCTAATACACAGGAAATATCTAACTCCTATGTGAAGCAACGGAATCAAGAGCCTACTGACAACTCCTTTCAACAACGAGGGGTACCATCCTTTCGTGACATAATTAGAGTAGGACATAGTAACTCTTCACAGCAACAACCTATTGAGTTAATGGAGGAAGAGGATGAAGCAGACATTTTTGATGATGAGGAAGACATTCCTGAAGAGATAATGAATGATGATAGATGCCCTGTCATACAACTCACCAAGGATGAGAAGAGATGTTTGAGAAAACCTTGGAAAAATTCCCTAATTATCAAGATGTTTAGTGGGAAAATCGGTTACATGGGGCTAATGATCGAGACATCTAAAGAAGAAATGGAATATCAAAGGAGAACTTGCTCTCACTTATATTGGTTGCAATTATTACATTGCACGATTCACCAACAAGGCAGACTATGATTATGTGCTTACCGAGGGTCCATGGCTCCTAGATGATAACTATTTGACGATCAGGAAATTCCAAATTTTATTCCGGACGACTCTCCAATTAAAGTCCTTACAGCTTGGGTTCGTATTCCAAATCTTCCGGTGGAATATTTTGATATCAATTTCTTGAATAAAATTGGTTCGAAAATTGGTAGAGTCATCAGGGTGGATAAAACTACGGCTCAAGCAGAACGCAGTCAATTCACGAGGCTAAGCGTGGAGATTGATCTGTTAAAGCCATTATTGTCTAAATTTTGGCTCAAAGGTCGGGTATGGAGAGTCCAATATGAGAGAATCAAGTGGTTTGTTTCAAATGTGGAAAACTTGGCCATGTTGCTGATGATTGTAGTCCTATACCCCAGAAAATGGAGTGCATTCTGATATGGTAATTCATGACAACCCGCTGCATAACCAAGGAACTAGACCTGAAGAACAAGAAGACTTCGGCTCATAGATGCTAGTAAAAAAAACCTGGTAGACAAAGGACCACTAAGCAGGACAAAAATGCAGGGGTGGTGAAAACCAATATTGGTGGCGCTAAGGAGGTGGGGAATATTCCAGTGGCGGGTAACCGAATTGGAATCAATCTTGAAAAAACTAAACTCACCAAAATTATGGTGGGAAACATTGGTAGCGGTTCAAGATTCAATATTTTGGACAACCAGGGAAAAATTTTTAAGAATAAAATTGAGGAGATAAATAAGGAAACAGAAGCTATTATGGAGGAGCTCCAGGATAAGGATGGGAATGTTTTTACCACGGTGAGTTTGGGTGAGAAATCTCAGCAAGATAAATCCTCTGAATTATTTCCTATTACTATTAATTTAAGTGATATGAATGTAAAAAATACAAAATCAAAAAAGATTCCCGAAAAATCATATCACGAAAAAAGAAAATTATCCTTTCCAAAGCAGAGTTTTCCACTCAAAGAAAATTCAGTTATTTCGGATGCCATTGGTAGCAATAAGGTGAACCCCCATAAGCAAGGAAAAGAGAACTCCTTAACTGCACTCGAAGCCAACTCCAAAGCAGAAACCCAAAGCCTTAAAGTGAACAAGCAAGTAGTGGAGAAGCCAGTCCAGGATGCCAATGACTTTACAAATCCCATCTCTCATGTCTCGTCCACCTTACCCAATCACACTGAATGTCCCACTAGAGAAGACTCTATGTGTGGGGTTGCCAATGGAACAACCTTACCTAGTAATCATGAACCCCCTGGTGCATGTGATGGAGGTCCATATGGACTCGCTGTTACCACCCATCTCGATCCCCCCGGATTTGGTGGTAATGGTGAGCCCACCAATTGAAATTCAGCGTCTGCTGAGGATTTTAAGCCATGCTTTTATGACCACGTTGTCTTCTTCACCAACCTCCATGGAAGATAGACTACCGAATATAGCGCCTGATACTCTACCTATTACTTGCATGATATGGAATGTGCAAGGGGCAGGTAATTCGAATTTTATTGCTGCTTTGAAAGAAATTGTTAGAATAAATCAGCCCAATGTATTAGCATTGGTGAGACTCACATGGGAGGTGATCAAGCTCTCAAGGTTGCAAATGTGTTGGGACTTAGTGGCCATGAGAGAGTAGATGCCATGGGATTTAGTGGTGGAATTTGGGTGTACTAGAAATCTAAGTTTGTGATTGCTAACCTGATTTTAAAACACAAACAGCATATCACGATGGAGATAACCCGAGTAGGAGTCTCACCTTGGTATATCTCTGCTCGCGAGTCCGGACCCTATGAAAAGGAAAGAATTATGGGAAGAATTAAAAACATTTGCAGCGACGCATAACAAACCTTGGTTGTTGGCAGGGAATTTTAATGATACAAGATTCCCTTCAGAACGTAATAATGGCATGCCATGAAACTAATCGTCGGTCCGCATTGTTTAATAACTGGATTGAAGAAATGGACTTGCTTGAGGTCGAATTTGCAGGGGCAGCGCATATGTGGGCTAGGGGAAGAACTCTTGAAACCTGATAGAGTGCTAGACTGGACCGAGCACTATGCAACAATGAGTGGGCTATGAGATTTGAGAAGGCCTCGATGAAACATCTCCCTGCTGTACAATCTGACCATTGCCCCATATTCATATCATCAAACGGCTTTGTACCACTTCAGGCTATCCATAGACCCTTTCGCTTCCAAGC